TATCTACTACTTTTATATTTTTAAAATATTTTCATTCTTGAATTTAATTTTTAAATAAAGTTAAAAAATTGTATTATATGATTTTTTATGATCTAGATTTTTACTAATTTTAATATAATTTTTATCAAAAAAAGGAAAAAAAATATCTAAGTTTCCACCAATTTTTATATATTTTTTGTGATAATGTCAAAAAAATAAAAAATAAAAATTTAAATTTTTAAACATTCTTTAAAGTTTATTAGATAGGACATTTTAAATAAGAAGAGCAGAGTACGATTTTTTGCATCTTTCAATATAATTCCTACAAAATAGTTTCTAATCTATCTTTAATCCCTACCAACGCTTCGATAATAGTCATGAACGATTTGAGTTGAGGAAGTTTCCTTAAGTCTTTTAACCCTTAACAATCTTCCAAAGATGAAGACCAAAAGCATTTCAAACGAGATAAAACAAAAAAAAAAAAAAAGAAAAGAAAAGAAAAGAGAAAAAAAGTAAATCATTTTATCGATAGAAACCACAGTAGAAGTATATCTACACAAGTTCTTGGCGAAAAAAAGAACTTATTGATAGCACCCACCGATAGTTCGGCCGTCCTCGAGGCTCGAAAAATCGACAAGGATCTGAAGGACATTCATTTATTTAGTGTTAAATACACACAGGCGTGAGCGTCCATCGACGTCGTAATCGAACGTTAAACTTGTCACAGTTTAATCCCCAATTACATGATTCTCGACTAACTGTTCAAGTTCTCATCCCCTTTCTCCCCACGTTCTCACCTACCTCTTTGCTAACACGAAGGGATTAAACCGAACTTTCCTCCGTCGATAAATAAACGATTAACGAGAAAAACACAAGTATATGCTATCAACAATAGAAAATACAAAAATATCATGAGTTAATGTGTTCTCTTTCATGCTCATTCTCGTTTCTATTCAACTAAAATCATTTAGAAGAAAACGGGACACGCTCATTCACGTGATGCGATGTCCATCCAAAGAATGAACGAATATAGATTAGGATACCTCGATGAAAGATCGTGCGATCATGGAAATTGATAAGAATATGGAAACGATTATTTATTAAGAATAGTCGTTCTTTGAAATGTAAATTATGATTTTTAATTATTATTTGAAATAATAATTATATCGATATATTAATTATTATTTTAAATAGAATAGGAAAAGATTTTAAATGGAATAAAATGAGAAAAAAATTCGTAAAATTTTAATTTTAGATATATTAATATTTTAGATATGTTGAAGTTACAAAAAATTATTATAATATTTAAATTCCCTAATATGTTTGAAAATATATTTGATAAATTAATTTGAAGGTAAAATAAATTCTGCAATAATAGTTAAAAAAAGTAAAAAAATAGGAATATTTGATTAAATTTATGAAAAGTTCATTGATAATTTGAATTTATGATAAATATTCGATTAAGTAAATATTTTTATATTGTAATGTTTCATTTCTTTAACAAAATTCAAATTTTTTTCCAAATATCAAATATTAAAGTAATATTAAAAGATTTTAACTTGCATGTTCCCTTTCAATTATTTTCCAATATTAAAATTATGATACCATTAAATTAGTGAATCATTTTTTAATTGATTTGAAATTAATATATTTAAAGAGTTTAAAAAGTGCTATTTTTTAAATAAAGATGAAAAAGTTATTTAATCATATATAAATTCATATATATATTTATAGAAAACTCAATTAATTATGAAGAATCATAGATTTAGATGAAAAAAGTGAATATCTGTGTCAAAAATGCAAAGATAAATATATGTTTCTGCAAACTTTTACGATAAGTATTCATTTACTAATAAATATTTATTAGTGATTGAATTAATATCTTCATATTAACAAAAATAATCTAAAATTTTCCAGAAACCCTTGATTAAAAATATATTCCGATATAATTGAGAGTTCAAAACGAAACAATTGTATGAATTAACTAAAAAAAACTCATTATTGATATAAATAAATATCTTTATATATGTCTATTATAACATATTTTGCTATTCAAACATATAACACATTTATGTCATTTCCATTCATAATAATAAGAAAGGAAAATCAAGGCAAGAAAAATAGTTGGAAAATACGAATTATCTCCAGATCACACGTTTTTGATCAAGATCATGATATGATTCGCTTTAAAATCGCTTGGTCCGATCGAAGGAATCCTCTAAAACACCCAAGGCTTAGCCAAGGTGTTCCTCGTTTGACACATAAAAAGCTGCCGACAGTCATTAAAAACGCGATATATCCTATTACGCTTGCTTATGAGATCTCCTTATACAGATATCTTAGTTACCCTGACGTCGCAGTATGCACACACATGTACACGTGCAAGCTTGCGTGTGTATGATACATAGATACGTGTACAAACATATGTACATATACATCACGCGATTTATTGCCGCTGAAAGTGAGAAGTATACCTGGCTTGATTCGCGAGCATGCGTATAACAGTGAATCACAGAAATCTTCGTATTATTTTATATCAGCTTAACTATAATTAACTGTATTATCAAAAATTCTGTTTTTAACAAAAGAGCACAATTAGTTGTATAGAAATAATTTTTTTGTTTGATATTATTTACAAACAGAATAAAATCAATCCTTAAAATTTCAATGTTTTTTTTTTTTTAATATCATGATTTGTGATAATATGAAACGAAATAAAATTTCAAATATGTAAAATATTCAGGCTTTAATACTCTGTTATCCTTATAAAAAATGTTACTTAGAATATGAAAAAATGATAAAAATATAAGGATCGATTTTATTTTATCATAGAAATTTTTTACTGGAAAAAGAATTTGCTATTGTGAATTTGTTATAACATATTGTGCTTTTGTTATAACACATACGTACAAATTTTTATTAAAACCAGAATTTTTTGGATTAATTCTTTTCTTCTAAGATTATGTATGAAGACTTCTGTAGCTGACTGTATGTGTCTTATGTGTATAAAGAGTGAATGTGTATGCGTATGTATGCCAGGATTGTATCTTTTACTTGTTTCTTCTACCTTTTTTTTTTGCACCTTTGTTTATTTCCCCTTTTGATTCATTCTTACATCGTAGTTTCTATAAGATTTTCAATTTTCAATATTTTTCAAAATTTAACAAATACATGTAATATTAATTTAAATTTTACAAATCACAAATTATAAATTATTACACTAAAATATTACTTTATATAATAATAATAAATTTAATAATAAAATAAAATAAATTTGATAAAGTTATCTCATTATTCTATTTCAGATAAAGTTCAAATTAAAATTGTAAAAATTGTAAAAAAAGAAGTTTATAAATTATAATTTGTAACTTCTCAAATCATTATCATCAGCTTGTGAAATATTATATGAGAATCATATCTTTTTTTGCTTTTATTATATTTTTTTATTAAACATTATTTATGATAAATGATAGGAATTGTATATATAGAACACGTAGGTAAGATAAATTTTCAAATTTGTTCTATTAAATAATTTTAACTTGTTAAATAAGAAAAAGAGATATGTATTACAGTAATGAATTTTGTTGAATAAAATTACATATATTATCTGATTGTGTTTCTTAAAGTTATTTACAATATTTTCAAAGAACAAAAGATTAATCTATATTTATATAGATATATAACACATTATGCTAGTCACGTAAAAATACGGATTCCATGAAACCATTCGTCAACTACACAGTCACGTAAAACCAAAGCCGATATATCGTTTCATAACAAGAAATATCTCGTCATGAATTGTCTTTATATAGGAAATGTATTTCAAGAAATTTGAAAATATTGAAAGCAATAAAATATCTAGGCTATGATTTAACATTTATAATTTGTATGTTTCAAATTTCTAGAATTGAAAGTTAATTTTTTTGGATATTTTTCTGTTCTAAAATTGCCTAAAATTGTTCTATTTGTAAAAATTCTTTTACAAATTCTTTTACAATTCTTTTTTAACTTATTAATTTTTTTTAACTTATGAAATGTTTAACTCTTTAAAAAAAGAAAAAAAAAGATAACTCATAGAAGTTTGAAATCATTATTTATGATGATTATATATCACTTTTTCTTCACTTTTAAAATACAAAAAAAACATTTGTTAGTCGAAGTTTGTTTACTCAAATAATCGATTATTAAATATAGAAATATAGAATATAATATTTCATATTTCTAATCACATATCTAATAGAGATTCGTTTATTTTTGTAATGCATTTCTCTTAGTAAAATCGCTTATTCGAATAGAATTAGTTTGGATAATCAATATTCTATCAATATTCTATCAATATTCTATATCAAAATTTCATTTTATGGAAATATATCAGCATAGGTGGATTATTGGTTACAGAAACATGTAAATATAACTAAATTATGAATAATTTTTGACTGTAACTTTTTATAAAATGTTAATTGTATGCGATATTGATTCATGTAAATAAAATGTAAATCAGACTCTAAGGATAATTTATTTCTTAAAATAAATAGTAAAGTTCACGTAAATAAATTTTATAAAATTAAAATTTTAAAATTATTATGAAATATTTTTACTTTATATCTATTCATAACAAAATCTCAAATAATTTGAAATATCATTTTATCTTAAATATCAATGTTTCACATTACTTTTAAAATTATTATTTATATTTAACACTTGTACTATAAAATTTTCAATTTTTTAATAAAATAAGTAAATCACTTCATTCTTTACAAAAATTCATTTAATTTTTCAATTTAGAAATCTTTTTTCTACATCATGTCCAACATATGAATCTTAATTCAACATTTTTTTCAAAAACGTTCTCTACAGATAAAATCACGATGTAAAAATAATTCAATCAGGGAAATCGCTTCATCTGCGCCAGATTAATTGAACAAAGCGCACCATACGTCGATTTTCTTACACTGTTAGATTTTCAGTATATATATCTATATATAATATATAACAGATTAACCAAAGCTTTATCCGTCCATTCACTGACATCTTTGATGAACAATCAGCGCAAAAACAATGAGAATATTAGAAACTAGATGATATTCTGCTTTGGAACTCGCGATTGCTGGCCTCTTCTTACCCATTCTTACAGTTGGCACTGGTGTGGCGACCGATGGATATCCAACATGGTGTCCATTTATCGTATTGTCAACGGATAGAGGTTTGTTCTCCATTTTCTCCATCTCTGCTGAACCATATACGGTCTCATCCTCCTCGTCATAGAAGGATGGTCGTGCTGCTGTTTGCGTTTTTGCTGGGCCCGAGATCTCTGAAACAAACGACAGAAGACATTCCTCTTTGGATATTATATTTTTAGATTAAGGTAAGAGAAAGAATTATAAATTGTTATTCGATTTTTATTTAATTGTAGATAAAAGTTGAATAAAAATTAAACGTTTGGTAAATTGTAAAAATTATTATTATAGTGATTGATTATATATACTAGATACATTAAAATACTGTAAAAAAAGAGAAAAAAAAGTTACTTTATGTTAATAATGAATATTCATGAATACATAGATGATTATCTATTGTTGTTTTGTGAAGAACATATAGATTTTTTCCGCAGATACAGAAATATAACATTATCTTCTATTATAAAAAACATATGACAATATATAGTAGAACAATATTACAAAATTATTGATTTTTTACTTTTCATTGTATAAAATTTATAATAAAATTTATAGATGATGCTATATATTTTTTATAGATATTAAATATTATTAAATAGTAATTGGAAAATAGTCAAAAATGGATTTTTCTTTTAACTATAATCCTTGATGTATTTTTTGTCTTATAATATTTACTTAATTTTTAATTTTTACATTATAAAATTGTATAGTACTTAATAATAATTCAAATAGGATATTAGTTAGAATTCAAATTAATAATTAATATTAATAAAATTATATATATTTATATAAATTCTATTTAATTCTATATAATTTTTATATAATTTATATATAATATAAATTTTTATATAATTTAATAAAAAAAGAAAAAAATGAATCGATTAATATTTCGAATTTAAAAAATTTTTATTACAAATTTAAAAATAAAATGATGAAAATTATTAAAAATTAATCAAAATTTTTTTTTATTAAGAACACATTATTTTAACGGATATTTATTTTTAAAAAAATTTTGAGAATTCTTTATGAGAAAGTCAGAAACTAGATTGATATAAAGTTTGGTTGCGACTATGACTAAACAAAGTATTCCTGTACTTGATTAATTACAGAGAAAGCCTAAATTGGATAAAAGCAGCAAGAGGAAGAAAATACTTTGACTGAATGAAGCTCTTAAAAAACTTTGGCTAATTAAAGTCTTACTCATACTGAAGAAGTTTACTTTCTAATTTTCTCGTCTTTCATGAGCTTTTTGCTGCTTTTGCAGTAGAAGTCAAATATTTCAACTCAACTGATTCAATGATACTTCGGAAAGTAATAAATCAATTCATATAAAAACTTTAATTAAATTAATTATCAATAAATTATCAATATATTGTTATATTAAATTAGACAATAGAATTTATAATTATTAATCAATTTAATTTAATTAATAAATAATTTATAATTATTAATCAAAATTATCAATTAATTAGACAATTAATTGATAAATTGAATAATAGATTATAATTTTTCTAAACGATCCAACAGATTTCAAAAAATTATTATTTAATTATTATTATTTCTATTATATATGTATCTATTATGTATTATATCTATTATGTATCTATACATTCTATTATGTTTACATTATTATCATTTCTTCTGTAATATAAATTGAATAATATTTCGATATATATATCGATTTCACTATAATTATATCACGAATACTATTAACATTTTTCATTTTAACAATTAGTTATCGAAAGATAATATCTAAAAATCTTTCAATAATATTCTTCAAATATATTTTAACTCTCAATCTCTTCTTTTCTCTGTATTAAGCTCTTATAATATCGGATCAGACTATTAATCGAATCACTAAATCCAATATTCAAATTGAGAAGTGGATATAGAGATAGAAAGATAGATATAATAGAGAGAAAGAGAGAGAGAGAGCGAAATTATTTCTATCTCTCAATATTTAAATATTATTTTTATGAGATATGATTCTTCAAAATATTTAAAAGTATTTTATTGTTTTTTACTAAATATTATATTGTTAGGATTTAAAAATATGATTTCCAATATTTTTTTAAAACGTTTTTTAACTCAAGAATGATCCTGTAGAATTACGATCTTATAATATTTTGAGTATAATGATTAAATATATTTATCTAATGTAATCAAAATAAATTATAAATCATACTTTAAAAATTTAATTATTTTAAAAATATAGAAATATTTCGATTTTAAATTATAAAAATTATAAAAATTTTTCTCTTTTAACTATTTAAAAAAATCATTTAAAGAAGTATATTTTATAAGCAGTTATTTACGAAAGTGTTTAGAAAAATTGAATGTTTGTTAGTATATTTGAATAGTATATTTTAATTATCAAAAATTACATGAAGAAAAAAACAAATAAAAAATATTAATTGCTAATTTTGAGAATAAAGATAAATAAGATAAACATAAAAATAATGTATATTTTATGAAAAAAAGAAAAAAAATCCATTGTTGTAATGTATGATTATAAAAATATGATTAAAGATAATTAATCGAAAAATATTAGAAGCTGTTTATATAAAACAAGTTATATTTTCTATCTATTATAAATATACATATATGTATGATAAATAATCAGAAATATAATATAAATATAAAAGGATATTAAAAAAATATACTATAATATAAAAGAATCATATAAATAAAAAATTTTTTAGTATATAATTCAAAATAATTTTTATATAACTATTATTGTAAAAACATCTCAACAAAATATTTAGACTACATATATTCAATTTGATCTCATCTCCACTCATCACCGATGCTTTCGCGCTTTTTTTTTTCAACAAGAATCTATGCTGTTCTAAATAAATTCCTATATAACAACATTGATTTCTAAAATACAAAAGAATCCATGACGTTTATGAAGGACATGGACCTTCAAGCCGAGTGCATTGACTCCATGTGTTCCCTCGAGTGCTCTGACCCGATTGGAAAAATCGTATGCGCAAAGATGAGGATTGACCGAAAGGAGGCAGACATTGAGAAGAAAATCCTCCGGAGGATTCCGTGGAAAAGTGAGGATGCTTGTAAAGCGTGTTCGAGACGAGCTTCTTTTATTTCTATCACGATCAGTCTTTCATCCAAGATGCACCGACAGCTAACAATTTCCACTCGGATCTTCCGCAAAGACTCGTTAACCCATCTAGCCTAGCTGCGTATCACCCGTGAAATAACAGAGAACGGAGACGAATTTCCTGTGCAATAGCTATCAACCTAAGTAAGCTCTCGACGAGTCAACTGCCCTCGTTATCGTCAGGACTTTCGAATGTCGCCATGAATGTTGTTAAATCTTATTCGCTGGACTGACCACTGATCTTAGTATTATTAATTGTCGGTTTGTTATTCCGCGGAATTTTTTTTTTTTTTTTAGAATACAAAATGAATCACTTTGAAGTATTTTGATTATTATAGCAGATTATGATTATCTTCATCATTACAATTAAATGAATGGCATCTAAAAAAAGATTTTGATTTTATAAATGAATATTCTTCTTTGTACATTATACATGTTTTGGAAATTTTTGTAAATATATAAACACTCGCAATATAGTAATAATTGAAATAATTAAAATTTATTTTGAAATGATATTTTTTTCTTTTAAGAATACATACAATGAATCATTTTAGTTTTATTATTAAAATGAGAAAAAATAAGTAAATTACCTCGTCTTACATAATAGAATTTTATTTTTCTATTTGAAATACAGAATGGATTATTCCAATTATGTCTGTCCATCTTTATTTCTTTAGTTATTAACAATCAGATTTTTGAAATAATAGACAATTTAACTTTTCCTTTTTTTTTTTAAATATATAAAGCAAATTATTTTAATGTGATTATTTTATTATTTTTTATAATAATAAAATAATAAAAATAATTATTAATATAATAATCATAATTTATTTTATGAGATAATAAATGATTCGTATATTTTTTTCTTTTAAAAAAATATAAAAATACAAATTATTTTAATATAATTATATCAAATATTATAATTATTATTAAATATTTATTTTAATTATTAAATAATTAAAATTTATTTTATGAGATAATATGAGATAACTTCAAAAAATCAAGACAATGAAATTTGATTTTTTTTTTGTAAAAATCTTAATTTCATTTTCTTATATAATTATTATTTCTTATATATAATTATATAATTATTTATAATTCTTTTTTCATTAGTTGAAAAAAATAATTATTTTTTTTTTGCATATGAAAATTAAAATGCAAATAATATTAAGAGGGTTTTTATTTTAATAAATTGAATAATATTATAGAGCAATATTATAGAGCAATATTATATATTAGCAATACTAACAAACTTTTATAATTTTGTTATAATAACTTTATTATTCGATAGTGATAATATATTTCGATATACAATAAATTATAAATATAAATATAATAATAAATATATATATATAAATTATAATGTGTATTCTCTAAAGCAATCAAAATCTATTATAAGTATTAAAGATTGTTAAATATTAATGTAAATATTAATTCAAATCTTTAGAGAATAATGTTTGTTGTCATTGTATAATTTTAAAATAATTGTATAATATAGAATTTATCATAAAATTTAATAGAATTTATATACTATTTGTATTTTAACTTTTTAATCTTTATTTTTTTAATTAAAAATCTAATCTTATTTCTATTTAAGATGGCTTTTATATTATATATTTTATTTACTCTTATTTACTCTACATATACATTTATATTTAATGAATCTATTGAAAATAGAATTATCGTTGGGAATATAGAATCAAGCAATCTACAATAAATATTGTAACATCAAAAAAAGATTCATTTTTATACATTATTCTACCTTTTAGTGATTTCGCGCAAATTAATTAATAATTGTATAAAATTAATAATTATATAAAATTAAAAGAAAAAATTTTACTTTTACATTAAAATTTGGAAAATAATATTACTTATCATTATTTATATCATTATTAATTAATAAAAATGAAAGAAAAGAAATAAGAAGAGAGAGACAAGATAATAAAAATTTTGTTTAAAATTAAAAATTAATTTTATAATGAAAAGTGTCAGAATCAATTATAAATATTGCGAATAAATTTATTTTATCATGTTATAGATTATTATCTATAGAGTTAATTGAAGATAAGTTCATAAATACTCACCATACAATCGAATACTGCTCTCAACATCACCAAGAGAATTTTTGGCCACACACTTATAATTACCTACGTCAGTTTTTTGCAAATTGCGAATAGTTAACATCATTCGAACCTCGAACTGTGATTTCATGATTGCTTGCACGTCGTGTTGTTGACTCGATATTATCATCGCTGCAATAAATAAAACAGACAACTTTTATAAAAATGACATTTATTTAAAAAATAAAAGAAAATTTATATTTTATTAATATATAAATTATGTTTTTGTATCAATTGCTATATGAAAATAAATAAATCTTTTATAGATTGTGTACAAATTTCTATCAGTTATGAAATTTTCATACATAATCTCACAAAAAATTCATTTAATCTAAAAAAATTTTGATTTTATGAAAATTTTTAAATTTTCTATTTGGAGAATAATGAATTATACATAGAATTTATTTTTTTAACAAAAATATTTTAAGTAAGTTAAGTAAGTCTTATTTATTTTTAAATTTTTATTATTTTTTGTTGTGAATATAATTTTGTTTAAGAATATTTTATTAGAATTATAAAACTAAAATACATCATATATTTAAAGTTTTGCTCTATATTTGAAAAAAACAAAAATAAAAACATTGAAATTTTAAAAATTAATTATAAACAAGTAATAATAATAATAATAATAATAATAATAATAATAATAATAATAATAATAATAATAATAATAATAATAACAATAATAATAATAATAATATATTAATAAATTTTTATTAAAAACGAGTTTTCATTGGTTTTGATATTTTGTATATTGTATATTTTGTATATTTTGATATATTGTGTATATTATTGAATTCTATATAAGTAAATAAATACTTTTACTTTTACAAATTCCAATTTCATAATACTAAAATACGTATATAATAAATAAATGATAGTAGTATGAAGTATATGAAGACTTCTAGACTGAAACTAGATCCTCAAAAGTAAATCGATTGAATTACAAATGTTCACGCTCTCCTTCGCCTTTTTCCTTCCTACTTAAAACTACCAAAGGTTAACAAATTTGCCTTCAATTTTCACTACAAAAGAAACCTACTCACCATTTCAATGGACAAGGATAAATGTAAGATAAGATATATACCTAGGTAGATATTCATATGTACGAGGTCGTCTGAGAATATTGCAAACGAGCGAAGGAATACGGAACGATGTATAAAAGTATGCGAAAATTCACTTCTTAAACGTGCTCCGAGTCACCTTATTACAAAAATGTTCACGTATACATATATGCCATACATATATATGTATATATAGAATGTTCTATACAAGACAGAAATGAATATATTTGATTTAAAATATAGAATACAATTTTATTTAAGGTTTCGTTTTTAAATAAATCAAATTCAAAGAATTTTCTAATTTTCTAGTTTTCAAGCGATATTGGCTACTTCTCCGATTAGAATAGAATGAATAAGTTTTCGATAAATAAGCAAAAAATATAGAATAAATTTTTTTCATATAAAAATTAATTTTCGAGAAAATTGAATTTGAAAATTCATCGATTGCATAATTTTTTCGTTATATATATTATATATGGCCAGTAATTCATAATATAAATGAAATTAGACAGACAGATTGGCTCAAAATAAAATAAAAATAACGAAATCATTTTTGAGTAAATCAAGTTTAAAAATTTTGTAAGTATAATTGAAATTAGATAATTTCTTATAGCAAATAAACTGTCGATAGAAAATTATTCTACATATGAAAATATATTTTTTCATTTAAAAATTAGTTTTCGAGGAAATCGAATTTCAAAAAAATTCAATGATTGAATTCAATTTCAATTTTCACAAAAATAAAAATTTAAATGATAAAATTTTATCCTATATTTATTTATTTCTACATAGAATAATTTTAATTTTTTTTAATTTTCAAATTTAAAAATTTTTTAATTATAAACTTTATTCAAAAACGAAGTTTCGAATAAAGTAAAGAATTCGAATGAAAAAATTGTATATTTGTGACTTATCTTTTCACGCTTAAATTATCTCTTCCATCTATACCATCCTAACTCATAATTCGTTAACAAAGTCAAAACAAAAATTTTCTCTCGAATCTTAGAAATCTCCAAAAATTTAAATTATACTATTTTGGAATATTCTGTATGTATGTACGTAAACAAAATAGAGAAAAGGGGGTTACCAGATTTTCCATGTGAGGTGAAAATTACATACGAATTCATTGGGACGAAGTGTTTCGTAGAAATTGCATTGAAACGAAAGTATGTATACAGCTATCAGGCTACAAACTGCACGGAGAATATATTTGTGAACGGCCGAGTGTAATTCATTCCTGCATTCGTCTGTTACTTTTTGCCAACTTCCTGCAAGGAAGTATTAAATCTATTAGAATAGAAGACATATTCTGTTTCTTATTGTGATTCCATATTTGAGAATAAAGGTTGCAAATAAACGATTTAATCATAATTAATGTACTTAATTAAAGCGATCTTTTCGCTAAGATGTAAATAATCTCTTGATTTCATTGTTTCTGATAAAAATGAGTGAATTTATGATTTTTATATATTAATCTCCTCAAAATTGAGATATATTGTTATGAGATATCAAAGGGATGATATTTTCAAAGCGATTGTTAAATAAAATAAAATATTATTAATAAAGAGTTTTTCAAATTTTAATTTTTGTTTATTTAGAATAATTTTAATTTAAAAAAATTAAATGCGTAAATAATATATCCATATTTACATCTGTCTAATTTTAAATATAGAAATATATGGATATTGTATATTAGTTTAATTGTAACAAAAATATGATTTTAAATTGCAAATATTTAAATGTATAAGTATATTGAATATATCTATATTGAAATAGTAATGAACGTATTATGAGTAAATTGTAATATCAAGATTGTATATATTCGTATATTGTATTATGTATTGTATCACAATTGCATTTAAATTATTAAATATTTGGCTATTTCATTATATCTACAATAATAATCACTATTTTATTTTATATATTATTAAAAAATGCGTGAATTATAAGATAAACGGATATACATATAAGATGTACCAATTAATAATTTGTTTTTTTTTCTCTAATTAAATATTGATTTTAAAACTTTGATTATCTAAAGCAAATAAAATTTCTCTGATAAACTGTCTTTCGAATAATTGATTAGAAAGAAAATTTGTGATTACAATTAGAAATTAAATAATTTTCAAATATGAACATTTAAAATAATATATACATAATGAAAAAAATATAGTATATGTAAAATAAATTAATTGTTTTTAGATATCTTTCCAATCTAACATTTCTCAGAATCTTTTTACAGTTTATTTCAAATACATACATTTGATTACACATATATTTAATATAAAAAATTAATTATATTTAATATAATTAATTATTTATAATTATAATTATTTAATATAATTAATATATTTAATATAAAATTACTAATATATTTTAATAGTTTAAATATATTCTTTCTATATATTTAGATAATTGAAATTTGGATAACTATTTTATTATATTCATTTTTTATAAGATTGAATTCTTTAAAAAGTTTTAAATATAATTACAATTATTTTGCAATATTTCAAGTTTTGATAAACTAGAAATTCCTAATCAAAAATCAATCTTTCAATAAAATAAATTTATCAAATTTACTTTAAATTTCAAATTTTAAATAATGTTCAAATATTTTTGTGAGCAACTATATGTATATTTCTATATTTATAGAAGACTTAAAAATATTGATATATGAATAATATGACAAAATAAATTATATCAATTATAATATTCAGAAATGATACTTCTATTCTATTTCCATTTATTTATAAAAATTATTTATTATCAGATCGTTATTTATAACTTATTATTTTTTTATTCATTTATTCATTTATAAAAACTTTAAATATATCAAAAAATAGATAAAATTTTCATTCATTTTATACGAGATAAGATACGAGATTTTAAATAATTTCATTTATTTATTCATTTATATATCGATATAAATATCATTAAATAATAGTCGTTTGAAATATTCGAGTAGTTTTTCTTTTTATCAGATAATGTCTTAGCTTTTATAACAGAAATAGTAGAAGAACTAGAGAGCTTCCTGCTTAGATCTTGATTTGTACGAAATTAGTTTTTCATGATATCGATTTTTAAAGGAAACGGATAAGATACGATTTGTAATCACATTAATGTTAACGGAGTGATTTTTGGGTTCCTATTTTTGATTGATAGATCGAGCACACTTTTAAATTGATTAGTATAAGAAAATGTTATAAATAGAATGCATTATTATATTATATAATGCATAATTTTTGCATCTTAAAATGTATCAAAGAATAAAAAGAAAATCGAAAAAAAAATTAGTTGAATATACTTTTATAACAATTATATTGCTTTTACAAAATTTAAACAGAACATTAAACAGAATTCTAAAGAAAATATTTAATAAAAAATTAAATAATATACCGAAAAAACTTCTTTCATACAGTTAAGTTTACTCTTTCTTATAGAAATGAATATGTTTAATATTTTATTTTTCATTTGTGCATTCAGAAAATAATATTTTTCAAAGCTTAAAAAATTTTATGATACACAAGCGATTTCTGCATGTTTTAATGAAATTAAAATTATAAATTTTTGTTTCTTTATAGAAGCTTTTCAGAAAAGCCTATATTATTATTTTTAAATATGACTTTTTTATCATATATATGTGTTAATATATTTGTGCGATATTTTTGGATTTTAAAGACCCCAAAAAATATAAAAGTTGCTAAATAAAAATATTTATGGTTATTTACTAAAGTATAATTAATACAATTTAAATTAATACAATTTAATTCATGTGATGAATTAATAATTATTAGATGAAGGCAAGGACAATGTAATGCAGATAGAGCGATTTCTATTTACATTTTATTTTTATCTAATACAAACTTAAATTGTTTATAATTTAATAAATAAGATTCAATCGATATTTATATAAATTTTGTTTTTCGAAAATAATAATAAAATAATAGTAAAATTTTAAATGAAGAAATTTTATTCTATATTTTACTTAGTTATTCATGAAAAATTAATTTAAATTTTTTCTTGAATATATATTATATTGAGATATTCTATATATGTATAATATACATATAAAAAAATTTAGTTTTAATTATACAAGAAATAAGAAATAAAAATAAAACGAACTTATTTTCGATATTTGTTGCGATTCAATTAAATGAAAAACAAATATTTCATTTATACGGAATTATATATAAATATAATTAATAAGAAAATAATATTTACCTATGATTTTGGTAAATAAAATATTCTCAAGTATTTGCTTATGGAAATATTTCAATTTTCGAATATTTATTTAAACTTATTTCAAATTTTCGTATTCCGCTTTGCAATTATTTAATATATGTAATTATTTGATTTTGATAAGATTATTACATCTCAATTTGTACGTAATTTAAGAAAAAAAAATAAAATAAAATTTATTCTTAAAGAATAAAGCATGAATTTAAATTATCAAAGCATTTTATGATTTACTATAATCTCATGAAAACGTTTTCTTATATACATATATCAAAACATGACAAATTTAAAATTTAAAAGTTTCAATATAATAGTATAATAACTATTTTTTAACTTAAATATTAAAAATATTGAGATAAGTAAAGTATTCGATTTTATAATTTTTATACTGTATTTTTCAACTTAATCTTATTTTTTTTATCTCAAGTTAAAATGTAAATAATGAAACTTTTTTAAAATATGTCTACATGTATATATAATAAAATGGAAGATTTTAGATAATTTTAGATTAAAATGATATATATATATATATAAAGATATCTGATTACAAACAAAATATGTAAATTATGAAAAATTATCAATCATTAAAAAAAAAAAACTCAGACAAGAATTGAATAGTTTCAAAGATGTAATTAGTATTTTTGTAGATTATCAGATAGACATTGCATGAAAATGACATATATTTTTTAAATGGAATCATGTAGTTTTAAATACAATTGATATTTCTACAAAAAAATATTAATCTAATTATGTTAAAAAATTAGAACATATTGAATTTGCAAAATTTATTATATAGAAAACAAAAAACATGATTCTTATTTATAATTGTTTATTATTCCTATTCTTTTTATTTTGTATATATTAAATTTGACAAAGTTTAAATTATATTTTTTAAATTAATAATTTTTCAAGACATAAATAAATTTTATAATCGAAATCGATTACTATATTTAAAATCATATGATTCTATTAAAAATTTAAAAGACTGTCTTTCATATGTATTTCTACTTGATTATCGAAAAAATTAATTATGTTATATTCCTTTCAAGTTTTTAACTATTCATTTGATTGAGTTGTTTTTGTTATATAGTTTTCCAATAAATTTTACGTTTTTTTTATTTAAGAAATATTTTATATAAAGTAAAATGGAAACATTTCTTGCGAAATATACAATTTATTCTGTTTTAAAATCATTTGATTGAATAGACATATTAATTGTTGATCTATATATAATTGTTGACCTATATATAAATGCATCAGCATGGAAAAAGAAGATAATATTTATATTATTATTCATAAAAAATTCTGAGTTTTTAGCTTTTATATTTATATTTTATGTTTATGTTTTATATTTTAAATGTTAAATGTTCTATTCATCTTTATAATTATTTTATATAGATTAATAGTTTTCATCTTAAAATTTAAAGTTTTATGTAGATTAATAATTTTCATGAATAAAGATTTTGTAATTTTAAATAATTTTAAATGAATATTCTTTATTTTATCCTAGTTTACCCAACATAAAAAAGTTAAATTCCATTTTATCCTATTCTCCATTATAAAATAATTTCAATCTCTCGCAATGTTACACAAAAGATTAGAAATTATCAAAAAAGAAAATCTTACCGTTATCCTTGACCCAATAATTAATCGATTTAGGCGAAGCCTCGACAAAACATTCCAAGACCACATCTGTACTCAGAGGAGCACCTACCAGTTGATTAGGCACATGAATTACCGGTGAGACTGTGAAACAGAATCCCAGATAGGATTTTTAGTACAATGTTTTCTTTCGTTTCGTATAGAATGCAATCAGTAAATTATCAATTACTATTACGGTGTAATCATTATTACTCACAATGAACGTTGATAAAAATACGTTTGCTGACCGCTGGTGGCACACCGTTGCTCGCGATACAGAGATAAACTCCCATCTCATTTCTTGAAATCTTTGTCAGTTTCAACTCTTCGCCTTGATATTCGCTCACTGCGGACACTAAATAAGATAATTACTCGTTAAGATTTTATTAATCTAATTAAATAGCTTACTAGGTTTTTCAAAATTTTATTTTTATATTTATTTTTATGATTTTTTATTTTTATTTTTATTTTTAATATAATGACATAAAATATTTATATATAATATATATTCATATATTTTTATTATTATACATATCTATGAATAAGAAAAGAATTGTTATATATATAAAGGCAAACTTTTATTGAAAGTTTTAAGATATTTGATATCAGAACTGGATATTTTTTATTTGAAATAGAAATAAAATATAAAAAGAAAAAATGATTAATTTAAATAAAATAACAAATAAATTCATTAAAAATAAAGATGTTTGAAAATAAATTTATGAAATTTTATTTGAGAAATAAATTATTTTCAATTGATTTATTTATCAAATTTTTGATTATAAAAAATAATAAAGAATAGAAAATAATTAATAATTAAAATTAATTAAAATTAATTAAAATTAATTAATTAGAAAATAATTAATATTAAAATTCTCTGTATATAAATTAAAAAATACATACATTATATTTCAGATCAACAATATCATGTAAATGAAAAAATATAAAAAAAAATATGAATATTATTTTAGACTTATTTTAAATCCATGTACAAGATTATTATACTACAAAAAAACATTTTTATATTTTTATAATGAAATCAAATAATAAATATTAAAATAATTTATCTTCCAAATAAATTATTATAAAATAATTATATATACTTATAATTATAAAATGAAGTAATACAAATAAAAAATAAAATAGAAATTTTGATGAATAATATTTTAAGAATTATAAAGAATTTTTAAAGAACATTTATAAAGAAATTTAATAATAATAAAATATGAATTTTAGTTGCATGCAATTCAAAATAAATATCTTAAAATTGTCTAAAACGAAAAAATATTTCGTATAAATATGAAATCATATTTTCTATTCAAGAATTTTCGAATATATTACTATTTATATATATTTAGAAAGATCTATTTCAAACAAATATTTAAACATTTTTCAATTATTCACCTCATAATCGTAACACTAAAATTCATTCAAGAAAAAATTAGTCGAGAGTAAACGTTTTAATGCAATTTATTACACTTGTTCTTTCTCTCTGCCAGAATATTGCACAGAGACACAAGCTATCCTTTCTCTTGCTATTCTTAATGTGCCTTGCTTTAAACTTGCGAAAACATCGATTCTCTAAGAATTTCGAGGTATAAGAGTAGCTTCATAAACTCGTAAATCTCTGATTTAATTACATAATAGCATAAAATAATATGATCGTTCGCTCGAATAGCAAATGTATATCGTGTATTTCTCAACTTTTCATTAACAATCACAGCATTCTGTCTAAATGTTAATGACATTAAAATTTATCATTGTTACGTAGAAATTTTCGTTATTAAAATTTACGAAGGTGCTCGAGGCTATCATTTCTCTTCAAGATGTTGTCCGTAAGAATTAATTAAGGAAACTATATTATTATATTACTTTATCGTTTGAGATGCTATCATTACGATATAATATAATATCATTGTAATATAATTTATTAGAATAAACGTCTTTTCGTATAGATAAAATTTAATAACTATTTTATAATATTTTAAACGTTACATTACAATATTAAAATTAATAATAAAAATTTACGAAAAAATTTTTTGTGTAATATTTACATGAAATTATGTGAAAAATCCTTGAATTGAATCATAAAAAAATGATGGTATTTGATAATAAAACATATTAATAAGGAATGACAATAAGAAAATATTATTATTCTCTGATTTAGATGATTTTTTAATATCAAAATCATCACATTGAATGGTGTTGTGAAAATTTTAATTAGTAGTTATTGTTTAAAAAGTTATTAAGTTAATCTAATTCAATCCAAATAAAACAAATCCAGAAATTAAATAAATTTTTGTTTGATATGAATCAATTTACCTTTTATAATTTTAATTTTAAATTTAATTTTAAATTTAATTTTATCCCAAATTAAAATTAAAAAAATTTATTTAACTATTAGATTTAATGATTTGCATTAGATTTGGACTAGTTTTATTAATCTATGCCCATCAATTGTCTAGTGACACATTTGATTAAAATTAATCTAAACTATTTCGAAGAAACATTTTCGTTAATAATTTTTTAATGAACGATTGCTGAATAACAAAAGTCTTCACAATACTATTCAGAATGATTGCAACATATACATAACAATTATTAAAAGTAAATATCTTTTTATAAGTAAGAAAATATTTGAAAATCTTGCAGTAGAAGTAAATTTTTAGCAATTTTAAATTATTATATTTAATATTCGTAAAAAAATACTTTATATATTGTTTGCCGGTCAAATGAAAAATAAACCATTTATTACTGATTTTGGATTATTGTTTTTTGTAATACGAATTTAAAATGATTTTATTTATTAAATTATTTATAATATGAAATAATATATGAAAAAAATATCGACATACATATTCTTTTTATTTTTAATAAGAAAACAATAAATTAATAAATTGTGTATTTTATTGTTTATTATCAATACAAAATAATAATTTCTTCGATATGTTTGTGTATATCCAAAACAGTATCAAATTTTAAAGATTCGAAATAAAGATTTATCGATTTAACGATCAATACGTATTGTGTAAAAAGAAAAATATTTTTTTAATCACATTTCCTTTTTTAATTTCAACCCAGAATAATAATTTTATAAGAAATATTTTTCAATTTCCCCAAAGTTAATGAAAATGAAGCTACTTTTCTCTTGCCTCAATTATATTTTAACTTGTTTATTTTGAATTCCTCGTAATTTTATTACACTGTGGGGGGATTAATTTTACGTAAGGAAAACTGCAGTTGAAAAGCAAACTTCCGTAAATCCGTCGAACAGCTTGTTAGCTGTTCCAACGGAAATCGCTAATTAATGAGCTTGTAAATCATAAATCATCGAATTCCGTTTAAATTCCCGACAAGGCTAGATTAACATGGTATAACGTCAGTAATTACAAAAATATAACTCGCGATTTGCCAAGAAACCCACCATCTCTTCAATAAATTAAAAATTAAAAATGGATAGTCAGAGTTATGGATGAAAATTCAGAATAATTTGAAGGAAACTCAAACCTTCAAGATATTACTACTATATGGAGAACGTTCAATTTATCATGATCCAAAATGGGAAATAGAAGAAAGATCATAATGTAATATTTAGAATTTGGAACAAGTAACATTAAACATATAGCATAAGAAAATAAAATATTTTATTTTAATAATATTTTTTAAAATAAGATACTTTAATCTTATTTAAAATATTGGCTCATCTCAAAAACAATGCGGCTTTTCTTTATTCATTCCTTAATCTAAAACCTAAGAGTTTGTATCGAAAAAAATTGAAGATGTAAACAAATTATAATAATGGTAAATAATGATAAATAATATTTTTCTACGAAGAAAAACCATTCGATTATTTTCAAATACTATTTAAAAATTGTATTAAATATAACATATATTTCATTTTCAAAATTATACTCATATATTAAAATAAATGGTTCTGTTTTGATTCATACAAAATCGAAGACAAGTCTTACTGGATGATAGAGTTTCAGATTCTGTATAGGCTCACAACTTTTCTCCCGCAATATCCAATAATTATCACCATTGTAGGTCAACAATAAGCTATCCCCTTTGCACGCAGTCAGGGTCACTGCACTTAGCACGTGTTGCAACGGGTGTGCCCGCATACATCGTTGACAGTGCGTAATTCGCCTGCTATTAGTAACACCATGCTGAAGTGAATACTAAATACGTCATTTAGGACGAAACATCTACGTAGAAATAATGGAGGAGTAACTACGTTTCTATCCATCAAATATTATGCGATTTTACGATTCGCTATCTGTCGATCGTTTTCACCAGGCTGACTATCCAACGTTCTATATCTAACGATTACGTTTTGTATTCAACGGAGTTATTACGCAATATTTCGAGTGCGTAATAGAGTTGTATGAATGGCTGGTGATATTGTTAAAGGGCTGCACTATCTCGAGAGTGTATTTCTTTCTTTTTCCTTTTTTTTTCTCTTTCAGCAGAGAAACGCTTAATTTTGGCACAGACAAAATGAATTGTCGAGAGTAAAAAATAAAAATCGAAATATTGTATAATTTTGCAATTATTGTTAGAAAGAAATTCAATGTAAATTATTATATTATTTTTTAAGAAATTAGAAATATTTGTTAGTTTCTTTTTAGAAATTTATTATTAAATTATAGTAATAAAAAAATAATAATAATAAATGATGAATAATATAAATTTATTATTTGAACAATTTATTATTTTTCATTTTGATATTTACTTAATATTTTAAAATATTTTTTCGACAAAAGTTACTTTTAATAAATATTGAATGAAACAATGTGATTAAAACTTAACTAGTTTGAAACTAGATATGTGAGAATTTTTTATTCATCAAAAATATAATCACCATAGTTTTCTACAACTTTTTTTCAATATTCTGAGAATATTTTGATGTCTCGATTATGAAATGATTTAGATTTTGCTTTGAAAAAAAAAAGAAAATGTGAATTCTATTGTCTTTGCAAAAATGACAATTTTTTTCTTATTCATTTTTTTTTCATTCTGTAACTTATATTTCACTTAAAAAATATGGTTCATATGTTAATATCAAATATGTATTCATAAAAATGAAATAATTTGATATATAAATAGAAATATCTATAATTTTTGTAAAACATTTTATAATTTTGATATAATTTTTAATGAAGAATTTTCTGATATTTTTCACATAATATTTTAGTTTTATTTTTATTTTTTCTATAGAATTTGATGAAAAAGTAAGACATTTTTTTATATAACGTATTTAATTCAATTACAAAAAAATATAGAAATGAAATTCTTAATAATACAATAATTGAATCAGTTGCATTATAAGCAAATATTTTCTTATTTGTGCATGTCACTCTAAAATCGATTTTTCATGAATATATTAATAATAGTATGAATAAGTCATTAAAATTAAAAAATGTAAATGTAAATTCTACAAATAATATCTAATATATTATTTATAAAAACATACAAGACAAATATATTTATGAACATAATTAATGTAAATAGTTACTTTTTTAAAATAGTAAATGTGACAGTAAATATTTTAATAGTATTCAGTTTGCTAATAATAATTGAGATAAAAATAATTCGAATCGAATAGCTGTTATAAATAAGAGTAACATCTTCTTAAATATTTTCGTTAATTAATGAATTTATAAATAGTAAATAGAAAGATTTGAAAAATATTTTCTATCAGTAAATATAGCAAATAATAACAAATAAAACTAACATATGCTTTTCACCAATAATAAAAAATTTGAATAAAAAATTTATGCAACAATATCGCAATCTTATATTATTTTCTTAACCTTCTTTATTATTAACTTCTACTTTATAATATGTAAAATTACATATGTATATATTATATAATATGTATATATTATATAATTTATTCTAATAAAAACGATTTTTTTATAAGGCAAAATATTTAAATTGAAATGCACAATAAATATTTTTCAAAAATCATTCGCATTTTATCGTGAATATGTTCCATAAAAATTCGGGACTTCTATCGGATTCCTTACGACATATTCCACAAAGTGTTACTTAACAATTTCTCGAAAAGTTACATTTCCCGCAGGCGTTCGAGAACGAATCTCTATGTTCGCGGTGAAATAAGGGAATTAAAATACCGAACTGAATTCTGTGGCTGGTTCCGAGGAAAACATAATTGTATATTCCATATTATATCGGCGAAATGGTAGAAGAGCGTCATCTATATTAAATCTTACCATGAGACTTCTGGTTCAAGGCGCTTCCTGCAAATGGCTTCCGAATTACAATGTTCTTCCCGTCTTCTCTTTTCCATGATAAGCGCGGTGGGGGCACGCCTCTTGCACGGCACGTTAACTTCACCTGTACGTGTTATGAAACTAGAATTATAAAGAGAATCGACTTCGTTATTGCCGCCCGCAGTATGGGGCCGGGTTACGTATAAATATATTTCGAAAAATTAGGGCCCATGCACGGTACCTTAACCGAATTTTATTCGCTCAAGATTACATACGGAGTATAGCAAAAATGTGGCAACATTCGTTAATTGGAAATTCCTGAGGTAATTTCAAGCAACATTTTCCTTTGCAAAAACTTTCATTGTGATTTTATTAACAAAAACACTAGCCAATAGCATAGCGTTGACTATGTGCCAACCGAGCATAAACAAATCCAAATAAAATAACTATATCGAAGAAAGTACATTGAATATTTTTTTATCATTAAAAAATTATATCGAATTGTATCATGAAGAATGAATAAATCATAATATTCAACATACTTTCTTGGATATATGTTGCTTGAATTTGTTCAATACATAGCCAATATTCGATTAAACTATGCGCTTCGTGATTAACCAATATTTTTTGCTAATAATTCGTTAACAAAGCTGAAAATCTTTACAAAGGAAAATATTGTTTGAAATTACTTCAGAAATCTCCAGTTAATATTCCTACATTTTTGTGACATTCTATGTATATTTCGTCAATGAAATAATTCGAAATTGATCAAAGAAGAATAAACAAATCACAGAAAAGAATGAACGAGGAATTGGAGAAATAAAGTTAAAATTGTTATACAAAGTTTTAAATTTAAATGAGAAAAATGTACTTAAGGAAGGATCTAAAATTATAAAAAAAATGTAAAGAGATATGTGATGTTAACATCCAACAAATAAATAGTGTAAAAAAAAAGAACAGGAATAAAGAATGGTGGAATATTTCTTAAGGGGTTGAAATTATAAGAAAAATGTTTTTATGAAGTTTGATTGTATAAAGAGATAAAATGGTATAAAGAAATTATTAGAGCTATTTTTGAATTTTTTATATCATTGATTGACCTTTGTATATTTTATGAATTGATGGAATGATGATTTTTTTCTACAAAAATTGGATAACAGCTCGAATTTTGAATTTGAACATATTTATTATATGATTTATATTTATTATTATCATAATATACAATTGATCGAATTAAATTTTAATATCAACATTATTAATAAAATTGTTTTTAAATAATTAATAAAAAATTTTTTCAAAATAAAAAAAGATTTAACTTATTTATTAACTAATTGAATAAGAAATTATGAAGTATTCTTAGCTTTTCTATGAATAGACATTTAGAAATTATATAAAAGTCATTAATGTTTTTTGTCTTTAATAAACTCATATACAATCAAATCTCAATTAAATAAATTTCGAATTGAAAAATATAAATTTTCAAAGTTACGAAAATTTCTATTTATTATATATTATATATAATATATTATATTATATTATATATATTATATATATATAATATATATTAATATATAATAAATATTATATATAATATATAATATTAATATATAATAAATATTATATATAATATAATATATATATTATATATTATAATTATTTAAATTTCGAAATTTTCTAAAATTATTCGTTTGATTTATTTGTTTATAGATATAGATATAGATATATATTTTAAAACTTTTTGAGTTAAAAAACAAAAACAATATTTTATATTTTTTCTCTGTTATTTGTCTTTTCTTTATTATGTTTCTTTTTTTTTTTAGAAAAATAAAATCAATTATTTTTATTAAAATTTTAATTATGAATATATTCACAATACAATATTTTCATTCTTATTTATTTAATGTGAGTGAATATTATTATCAATTTTGAAAAATTCATTTTATTGCTAAAATGATTATTATTTATCTTTTAAAAAATTGATTGGTTAGCATTGCTAAGCTGCAATAAATCAATTTGCTTTTTTATTTATTTAATTATTATTTTAATTATTACTTATTTAATAATTTTTATATTATTCATATATAATATAGTATGGAAAGATCAAATTTAAATATTTAAGTTTTAAAATAATAAATAATAATAATAATAAATCAAAATAATTAAATTATACTATAACAGTCATAAATAATTTTTATATATACATATAAATATATATTTGTTCATATTCAGTTAAAATTCAATAGCTAAATACAAGTTTCTAATAAAAAATAAAACAGCAATAATTAAAAAAGTATTTTTATCTAATTAAGCTTATTTAAATTTAAATGATTTTGAAATTTCCGTGACGAACTATTATGGAATTAAATTAAAATTTAAAAGTTTTATGCGATACATTTTAATTATTATTGAAGGATTTTTTGTTTAATAGTTAATGAAAATATTTATTTTCCGATCTAATAATTATTTTATAATTATATATTTTATATTTGACAGACATTTTGAAATTATTAAAATTTTTAATTATAAAATTACGAACATATCATTTAACATAAATTATGCTAAAGAAAATCATAAGTAGCTTGAATTTGTAATATTTTTTTTGCTTTGCTGACAACAAAGATTTCGTGAAAGGAAAAATATGATACGAGCAGAATAAATTTTCATTATATTTTAGAAATAGAATAAGCTTTAAAATTTTTTTGAAAAAAATAATATTAATTTTGAAGTATACTTTTGCAATCAATTATTAATAATCGTATTTAAAAATTGACTGATAAAAGAGATTCAAGAGATAAAAAAATTATATTGAAAAGTTTGTGAAATCATATAACATATCATATAATATATTATAAAATTTTGAATGAAATTCAATGTTAATATTAAAATTGTATAAAATTTGAAATATTGTACGTGATATTAATTTTTTGATTTTGCATTCAATATCTTTTTATGTAAACTGACATTAAAAAAAAAAATTATACAAATGATAAAAAAAATATTCTAAAGTTCTAATTTAAAAAAAAAAATATAATTGTATTTTATGCTTGAACAAAATTATATCACATAATGATTTTGATAAAAATGAAATTGATATGCAGTATAAATTATTTCACATTAATATTCTTCTATTATTTAATCGAATATACAATAATTCATGAAAATATCTGAATATTTAATATATTCATATATTCTTTATGAATACAATATATGTATTATATCAACAAAATTTAAAAAAAATTGAAATAAATTTGAAGTCATGTATAAATGTATTAAAAATAAACTCAATACTCAAATATTCTGCGAAATGCTTTAATAAATATTTTATAATTCTTTATGCATTTATTTATTTGAATTTGTTTTATATTTTCATTTATATAATTTAAATAATATTTATTATTATGTTCTATATACGCATAAGCTTTTATTCAAATCAAAATATTTGAATTAGATAATTTTTATATAATGTTTATATAAAATATTTTCGTGAGTCAGTGTATAATATGAATAGAGAATTATTATTCTAAAATTTAAGAATAAAAATTAGATACAATAATAAGATAATATATGCATAAAGACAATATATGCAAAAGATAGATTAAATATGACAAATATATTATTAAAAGAATTATTAGATTGTAGACGAAAATTACTTCTAAAGTCAACAATTATTAAATCTTTGTTAGTTATTTTTCGAAAACAACTTTTTGTATTTAATTTTAGTTATATTTCAATTATTGATTATTTCTTAATCCATATGTATATCTATATATCATCTTCGAAAATTTTACGAATCAATTTATATTACATTTAACGAATATATCGGAATATTTCCATACAATCGTGTTCGATACATGAACGAACGAAATTCGTATTGTTAAAGTGTGAGAAAACTTAAAGGAAGAAAGAATTCCAGAGACGTAAACATTATCATCTGAGTACTTCTTTTATCACCAGTATATGGTGAATGACAAATGTATTATTTTACATGTATGAATTTATTCCTCCTATATATACGTATTTTTGAATCATATGAAGTGATGGAAGATGTTTGAAAATGCAACGGAACATCAAATATAAGTGAATAAATCAAGTTGTTAATATCAGAATTGAACATTATAAAAATAAATTATTATTGAATGAAATTTTTATTTTAAATAAAATTGAATGATATTATTATATAATATGAGGTACCTATAAAACAGGCCACAATATTTCGACTTGTTATTAGCTTGTTAGAAGATGTAATCAATCAAGTCTGTATTAAGTCAGATCAAAGTATTAAGTATTAAGAGATATATAATTTGACAATTGTGAACAGTTTTTTGAGAAATGAATATGATAGAGATCATATGAAGATCAATTTATTTTTTAAATATGTTTTTTTATATATTATATATTTTTATATATTATATATATATATTTTTATATATTATAGACAGTATATTATAGAGTGACAATGATTTAATATCAATGATTAAGATCCAAGATCAAGATGATTGAATAAAATACTTTATTTCTTTATGAGTATTATTTCAGATTATGAGTATTATTTCAGATTCTTGAAAATTATTTATAACGTATTGATCTATTGTAAATGCCTTATCATGTGTATATTTTTTTATTTTATTTCTTTATATTACTTTGTCTTAAACAATATTATTTAAATAATTATTTATTTATTTGAAAAATAAATTATTTTAATATTTATTATTTTATTTGAAACTTATATATTTACTACAAATTTATATTTATTTAATTTCATTAAGAAAATATACAAGATATTTTATTACAATTTTTATTGCCTAAAGCATCTTTTCTTTTTTATTAGACTTTTGAACTTTGCATATTTTGATCTGAGATGAAACTTGTATTTATTGTTATTATACCAGATTTCTGGATTTTTTATTTCTCGGCAAATGAGAAATCAGATTATATCTCTTGAGAATTCTTCAGAAGAAATTAAAATATTACAAAATTTGTATTTAATATTTTTGAATAATATTTCTTTTTTGAATAATACATTTCATGAAAATTTTAATACATTTTGTTAAAATGAAAAGATCAGACATTAAATATAAACAATAAATTTATTTATTTAATAAAAAATATTTAAAAATATTTTTC